GGAGAAGTTTTTGGATGTGCATAGGGATTTGATTCTTAGAAAGTCCCATTCATCTATTTTACCCTCTCCTGACTGCTCCAAAGGAATTGGAAACAAACAAGGCTCCAGGAGTTGACAGCATACCAATTGATTTATTTCAACAGACGCTGCCTTGGATGTGCTCACTTACTTGTGCCAAGAATTCTAGAGAACAGCCAGCTGGCCAACTGACTGGAAAAGATCAGTATTTGTTCCCATTCTAAAGAAAGGTGATCCAACAGCGTGTGGAAATTATCGAACAATATCATTAATATCACATGCAAGCAAGATTCTGCTGACAGTTATCCAAAAACGTTTGGAATAATATGTCAACATAGAACTGCCAGATGTACAGGCTGGATTTAGAAGAGGTCGTGTACTAGGGATATTACAGCTAATGTTAGATAGATCTTGGCAGGAAGCAAAGAATACCAGAAGAGTGTCTATCTGTACTTCATTGAATATGCAAAGGCTTTTGACTGTGTGGATCACAACAAGCTATGGCTGACTCTGAGAAGAATGGGAATCCCAGAACATCTGATTGTGCTAATGCAAAACCTATACTTGGACCAAGAGGCAGTCGTCAGAACAGAGCAAGGAGACACTACATGGTTCAATATCAAGAAGGGGATCAGTCAGGGATGTATTTTGTCTCCATACCTTTTCAATCTGTATGCAGAACAGATCATCCGAGCTGGGCTGTATGAGGAGGAATGCGGCATCAGGATTGGTGGAAGGAAGAGTCATCAACAACCTATGTTATGCAGATGACACAACTCTGCTTGCTGAAACTGAGGAGGACCTGAAACGCTTGCTGCAGAAGGTCAAGGACTGCAGCCTCTAATATAGATTGAGGCTCAACGTCAGGAAAACAAAGATTCTCACCACTGGGCCAACTGGCAGTATCAGTAAGGATGGTGAAGAGATTGAGATAGTTCATAGTTTTAGTTTGCTTGGTTCCACAGTCAACACTCTTGGTAACAGCAGCCAGAAAATCAAGAGACGAATTGCATTGGGAAAGTCAGCTGTGAGGGACCAGGCTGGAGACTAAGGTACACCTGATCCAGGATATAGTCTTTGCAATTACGTGCTATGCATCAGAGAGTTGGACAGTGAATAGGGATGATAGAAGGAGAATTGAGGCCTTTGAGCTGTGGTGCTGGAGAAGAGTGTTGAATATACCATGGACTGCTAGGAGAACAAACAGGTTTGCACTGGAGAGAGTGAAGCCAGAATGCTCCTTGGAGTCAAGGATTCTGAAGCTTCGTCTGATATATTTTGGGCATGTTGCAAGGAGGGACTGGTCCTTGGAGAGTGACATCATGTTTGGGAGAGTGGAGGGACGGTGTAGGAGAGGAAGACCTTCGATGAGATGGATCGATTCTGTGACTGGAGTGGTGGAAATGAGTGTGTTTGAGACAGCAACGTTGGCACAGGATAGAATGGGCGTTTAGGGCTCTTGTCGCAAACAACTCGACAGCACATAACAACAACAACAACAACCTGGTTGTAGATTTTTCAGGATGCTTGGAAGACTTTTTATGTTGTGGATTAGGACTTCTAGAGTTCTCCCAAGCTTTTCTTTAATGAAGTTTAACGTCCTTGATTTTAGTCCTAGGTCCAACCGAGAGTTGGTTTTTGGGTATAGAGTGAGGTGTGGATCTTGCTTGAGTTTTTGGCAGATAGTTTTCCAATTTTGCCAACACCATTTGTTAAAAAGGCTGTCGTTTCCCCACTTAACTGATTTCATCTCCTTGTCCAAAATCAGTTGACTCTCCTGCAGGTTTTCAGATGCCGTAATCATACAGGAGATTGCCCATCCTCAAACCGCGTTCCTTTGAGAATGCAGTACAGCTTGTTGCCACTAGGCCACCAATATTATCCTATGGAGAGATAATTGACGATGAGACGTGATAAGCAAATTTAGGGGCTTAATTTGACTAGTCTTCATAGATTTGGCTCCATGTCCGGGGCGCGGCTTATAAACCCCATCTCAGAATGAGGAGTCGTCTAATTTCCGCTCTGGGTTTGGCTAAGAGAGGAGCCTGAACCTCCGCAGTTAGCTACGTATACAGAAGGCGTGGCTATTCAAGCCGCCCATCCCAGTGTGATCACTTCCTGTGGAGATTCCCCAGCGAAGGGAGGAGGGGAATAGCTCAAGGGAAAGGAGGGCGGTCGTTCGGGTTAGGTAGGGGGCTGGTGACGGATAGCGCGGCGCGGGAGATGACTCACGTCGCATCCCGTCTTCCCGACACGGCCCGCCTGCGCAGAGTTGGCTCCATGGCTTAGTGGCGAAGGAGGCTGTGGCGATGGGGGGGAGGGAGAGGGAACACTTATTTTGTTATGGGGGCCAGGCTGAGGCCCGACCGGTCTGGTAGAGCTTTGCCGGTGCCAGACGTCATGTCTCATGTGGACAAAACAGCTCGGGACAGCATAGAAGCCAGCGCAGAGAGCTCTCAAGCCGTGTTCGTGCTTTTGGAGGAGCTCAGGCCAGCCCACTCAGCCCAGCTGCTCAGGTGCGGGGCGTGGCGGGGGGTCACCTAGGGCCTGGAGTGCCGCCTGGAGTTCTCTAGGAGCATGATGTTAGGGTAAACGGGCTTCAGACTGTGATTCGAGAACCTGGGCCTAGGAGTGGAAATCGTCGGAGCGCTCCTTTAGGGGGTTGGTGGTGGAGGGAGGCACTAAGAGGAGACGCATTGAGGGTAGAGGATTCTAAACAGATTGATTCTGAACACTGCAGAAACTGCCTTGGGGCAACTGAACTGGAGGGATTCTGATTGAATTTGGGGTCTTTGAGTGGCGCAATGGTTAAAACGCCCAGCCACTAAACGAAAGGTTTGCTGCTTAGGGTAGGATGGGAGTAATTGGGATAGTAGGACCGATGTGGCAGTCTGCTTCTGTAAAGCTTTACAGCCTTGGGAGCCCTACAACCTTATTGTGAGTCAGAGTCCACTGAGGTAGTGGGGTTGGGGATATGTTTTTATGGAGACACAGATTTTAAGGAAATTCTGGAATGCCTTTTCCCTCAATGTAGGAAGGGTTCCAGGGGAACTTGGGAGCTTGGTGAGTCGCAGTGGTGCTGGTCTTTGAGGATAATATAAGTCTGGAGGAATATGGAGTATCTGAGGTATGCTGCAGAAACCAGCCTTATAACTGAGGAGAAGAGAAGCAAAATTCACCAAGCCCTTTCGGGATTTGGGTAGGGGATGGGTCAGATCTCAGGAATAGTGGGGGAAAACCCCTATCTGAACCCCATAGGGCCTGGATTGGGGTGCAGTCAGATGTAAGGGATGGAGATAGTACTGCCTCTTAACTCAGAGAAGAAGGCCTCAGATCTTGTTTGAAAACCCAGAGATCATGTTCCTGCCCTCACCAGACTTGACCTCTCACCCAGCCCTTGCTCTTTTTTATTGCTGTCCTCCTAATAGCACTCTCAACTCCTTGGTGTAATCTTGAGAGAGCATAAATGGATGCTAATTGCACCATTCCAGCCTAGGCATCTCATCTCATCCTTACTTCCAACAAGCTTGCCTTCTCAGGCCACATTCCAATGCCCATCTCTTCTAAATTGTGTGAAATGGGTGTAAACATGGAAGAAGGCTTGGCCTACTTTTTGCTTGGGTTTGGGCTGAATTCAGCAACTCCCTGTGCTTCCTCTTCCCAACTTCCTGGGTGGTTTTAGGGCCTCATCTGAGGGTGAGGAGAAGAAGGAGGACAGATCTTTGGGAAGGGGAGAGAGAATTCTTGTCACATAAAATCACTTAAAATTGCTCAGGATTCTGAATCTTCGGCTGAATTTAAAGATGCGTATCACCCCAAAAGAGATGTATATCCATGTGTGTGTCAGTATCTCTTGCATACAAGGAGTTTCTCACTCAGTGTGGGAGGCTAAGCAGGAGGCTTTGTATTGATTTGCTATCTTGTAATTCCTTTAAAGCAACCTAGATCATCACAGCAGTGGGAAGAGTCAAAAGAAAGGGTTACATGGCTTCTTATTTTGTGTCAGTGGGTGTTGGTATTGTAGGGGTGTGTTTTGACCTATCAACAACAACAAACCAGGAAAGGGCTGGGAAGTCTCCTCCCACCAAGAAATGAATGTTCTTATGAAGTGGATCATCTCTACAGACTACCTCTCTTGGAAAGCCAGACAGTTGGAACGAGGAGAGCCATGCTATTCTCATTTTGTGTTTTTGTATGTGTTAGTATCTCATACACTTTGGCTGAGAATAGGAGGAAATAATTTGCAAAGTGGTAGATCCTTAATGGACTGTTATGCTGAGGGATACTCCTATGTGCTTTGTGTGTGTGTTTAGATGAAGGCTCACATTTAGCCTTCAGAAGAATAAGATAGGTTTGTGAGGGCTAGGAAAGCTCTGAATACAAGTCTGGAATTCTGTGATTTAATTTAATAACTAATAATTAATAATTCTGTTAATTTGCATTCCGAAATGAAAACTAATCTCAAACCCAGTAGGGTGGAGTCCATGCACCTTTCTTATTTTTTAATCTTAAATAACTATATGAATGATGCAGAAGAGATGAAGAAGGGAGAAAACAAGCAAAACCTGCTACTACTGTTGAGTCATTTCAAATTCATAGGGACCCTCTGTCAAGTTTTCAAAGTTGTATATTTTAATGGGTGAAGACTATCTTTCTCCCAAGGAGCTGTCTTTGGTTTGACCTGCTAAGCCACCAGGGCTCCTCTGGGAAGGGGAGAGGATGTGGTACCCATCAGGATGGTTAAATGTGAGTGGTATACTCTGCTTTCCACTTCCTTCCTCATTTTTCTCTCTCCCTGAAAGAGGAGAGGAATGAGGTCTCCCTGTAACCACTGACATCACTCCTACTGTCCCCCCTCACCCTCAGCCTGAACGCTCTGCTTCCGGAATCGGGAATTGTTGCTGACATCGAATTAGAAAACATCCTTGATCCTGACAACTTTTATGAACTCAAAAGCCAGCCCCTACCCCTACGCTCCAGGTATGACTATTGGACTCCCCTCCCTATTCATCAACCCTCAAGTTCCCTCTTGATAACCACAGGTCTTTATCACCAGACCAAATCCTTTTACTTACCTGCTTACCTTTTCCACATGATAAACATGTCAAGCAGGAAAGTAGGTAGCCAACCTAATAGGCTCAGACAAGACCTCCCTGTCAGTTTCCACCCTTACCCTACTCCATCCCTATTTATACACAAATATTTCTGGATGGCTTGAGTGCCCAGGGACACAGTGGGCCTGCTCAAACTCTTGTTCCTGATGAGCAGATCGTATACCTAGGACCTGTGCTCAGTCTTTGCCCACACTTAATAATCAACCTTCCTCTAGCCCCTTTGCTGGTTTCTTCTTTCCTCCTGCTTGGAAGTCTAAATGTGCTGAGTCATGGCCTGGGCTGTAAGGGAGGGGAAGGGACCTGGAAGAGGGGCAGGAAGAGAAGATTGTGAAATCTCTGAGATTTTCAAGACTCACTAGAACCTGGGACTGGAGGCCTAGGCAAAGGAAAAAGAGCGGCCTAGGATTGTCCCTCTAGACTGATGCCCATACCAGGAACCCTAAAAGTAAAAAAATCCCAAAATTAGACTTCAGAGCTCTCTGTATCTACAAGTCTACTGTTAGAATCCCAGTCTTTCATCCTTCTGCTCTTCTTCAAATAGAATAGACTCACTCTCCCAGAACTAAGCAATGGCATCTACATTCAGTATGTGAATGGACCTCTACTGTACTCCTAAGAACTGAGGGCTGAAAATTCAGATAATTTTCTACTTCGAGGAGTAGAACCTAACATAGTCCATGTGTCTCCCCCACCAGACCGTGACTCTTGAGGGCTGGGACAAATCTGGCCCTTCTGACTCCTTTTCTGTGACTTTCAGAGACAGAACAGTCTTTGTTCCTTTGTTTAGTCTTATCACACTGTGATCCCCTGGTTTGGGGTGAAATTTTTAACCATGGCCCCATATTTCTCATCTACAGCCTCCCATTATCATTTCAGTCTACATCAGCCACTCCAGCTACACACTCTGCATCATCTTCTGCAGGGGGCTCCAGGAACCCTGCCATGTCATCATCCTCTTCATCACGAGTCTTGCTGCGGCAACAGCTAATGCGGGCCCAAGCCCAGGAGCAGGAGAGGCGTGAACGTCAAGAACAGGCTGCAGCCACTCCCTTCCCTAGTCCTGCAACTACCTCTCCTGCTATTTCTGTAGTTGGTGTTTCTGCTGGTGGCCATACGTTGGGCCGTGCACCCCCTGCTCAGGTGCCCAGAGAGGTGCTCAAGGTAAGATAAGGTTTGGAGGCCATGGGAGGGTATTCTTGGAGACTGAAGAGCTGAGGGTATGGATAATCTGGATATCTTGGCGACTTTGAAGTGAGGCTCTAGGAGCTCTAAGTCTAAGATACTGTAAAGTGAGTTGTGCTAGTGTCCCATTCATTATGTTTGGAGTTTCTGAGGTATTCTTGTTGTGAGAGGTTTTGGGAGCTATGGAGATATCTAAGTGAACTGTGGAGGGTTGTGAGCTCCTGGGATCTGTGAAGTATGTCTTTGTAGGAAGAATTTCATGCCTATATGATGGATACATTGAGTTCTCTGGGAGCCATTAGAGTATCTTGGAAAGCCACATGTGGTTCCCAAGGTCTTTTAGGTGATCTTGGTGACTGTAACAGGGTATTACATAAATTTTAAGGGATCCTGTCACTGCCTCCCCACCAGGTGGATCTTGGGGGGCTGTGAGAGGTTTTTGAGAATGAGAGTTCAAGTCTTAGGGGAAACTCACTAGTGTGTTGGGGATGGGGAATGGCCCAGTTCACCTACATGATTTTAAGGGATCCTGTCACTGCCTCCCCACCAGGTGGATCTTGGGGGGCTGTGAGAGGTTTTTGAGAATGAGAGTTCAAGTCTTAGGGGAAACTCACTAGTGTGTTGGGGATGGGGAATGGCCCAGTTCACCTACATGAGCCTGGTAGCAGATGCAATACGGGGAATCGGGCTGTGGCTTAGGGTTACTTCTTTTGAGCTCTGTTCTATTTTGTCCTTCCCCTATCTTTTCTCCCTGGCCCTACAGGTAGAGACTCATCTGGAAAACCCAACACGCTACCACCTACAACAGGCACGTCGGCAACAGGTGAAACAATACCTGTCAACTACACTTGGGCCCAAGTTGGCCTCCCAGGCCCTTGCCCCACCGCCAGGGCCTACTAGTACCCAGCCTCTCCCTGCCCCTGAGACTGTCCATGCTATTGGTCCTTCAGGAAGTGCTCCTAACAGTCCCATGGCACTGCTCACCATTGGGTCTAGTTCAGAAAAAGAGGTGAGTGGCTAGAGACAACCCCCCCATTCTCCCTAGTCCTCCTCCAACATCTTCTCATTCTGTTCCATATTTACATATTCCCTAGATCGATGATGTCATTGATGAGATCATCAGCTTGGAATCCAGTTATAATGATGAGATGCTCAATTATCTGCCTGGAGGCAATGCTGGGCTGCAACTCCCCAGCACGGTAATGCCCTAAAATGAAAGCGTGGTTTGAAAATGAAGATATCCTCCTATCATGGACACCTTACCTATTGCTGAGTGTATAGATAGAGACCCTTCCTTTGGGTGGTACTTAGAGAAGGAGTCCTTAGGAAGAGACTGAGGCATACCAAGGCCCTTAGCCTTTGTATTAAATTATATGAAGAGGTGGACCTCACAGAGTTCTAAATACAAAGTAGAAAGAGTTTGTACCAGTTCACTACAGCTTCATGGTGAGAGGTACCAAGAAATGAGAATCCTATAATGATTCATACTAAAGGATTCAGATCATTGGGATATACCCAGGCCATGTACTGGTTGAAACATATACCAAAATCTCAAAACACAGTATAGGATATGACAAGTGGTTGGTCCTTGTAATAACTGGAGTATACCAAGTCATTTACCATGATTTGTGCTAAGAATGTGAGTGCTTGTAGAGAGTTGATAAAACTTTGTAAAGCAAGAGATGTATCAAAAAATAGTAACATTCTGGGTTTAGAACATTCCAAGAATCTAATAATTTGTTTTTGGATATAATAAGTGCCTGTAACTTTGGTCTTATCCCAACTTATCAAGTGGATAGAAGCATGTATAAAAGTGATACCAGTTCATCAAAATGTTTTATTATTTTGAGCACAGCTAGAGATTGGGGCATCTAGATAGACTGGATGGGATTTCAAGAGAGAAAATTCATCAAGAAGTGGGACTAATTCTTACTGGCCTGGAATATATGTGAAAGTGCAAGGGAGAGAAAACCATTTGGCAGGTTGAGCAATTGGGGGAAAAATCTTGAGATCAGAATGTGCAGAGATATACTCTAGTCAGGGCAACAGGAGACCATGTACCTAATGTGTGACATGATCATAGCAAAAGATTGAGAAGTGGGTTGGAATTCTCCAGAAGGCCAGATTTCATGTAAAATATTGCCATGATCAAGATCTGACAAAATCCCATTGGAGTGTTCTAAAAACTCTATATTGTGTTATAGTACTAGGAGAAACCGATAGACTTGAATATTGCATTGGATCAAAGACAGACCTGAAAAGGGTAGTTTTCTAGCATTTCCCCTCAGAATCGACCCAAAGGTTTAGGAGAGGAGCTTTACAGGGCTTGAAGGCTTGGCTGGGAGTGATGAGCAGATCAAACAGGTTTTATTCTCTAGCAAATTATAGTAACTTTACTTTGTTCTATTTTCTCTGTTGGATTGTGAAATTCCTGTAAAAGAGGAGGAGGGGTTTCCTTGCCAAGTCAACCAATCCCTGGGCTTAGTGGACTCCCTCTTTGGAATATATGGAGGTTCAGGAACTTGGTTCCAAGGAGGGGGTGATACTGTGGGTTGTTCCCAAACTATTGTCTCTCCTTTCCCTACACCTAGCTGCCTGTATCAGGGAATCTTCTTGATGTATACAGTAGTCAGGGTGTGGCCACACCAGCCATCACTGTCAGCAACTCCTGCCCAGCTAAACTCCCCAACATCAAGCGGGAGATCTCTGGTAAGTGCTATGATCTTAACTACGTCCCCCACCCTGTACCCTGAGGTGAGAATCATGTCTGCCAGGTTTGGGTTGTAGGCCTCAGTATGTAAGAAGGGGTTTAAGCATATAAAAAAAGGGCTGTTTTCTCTCTTTTCACATAGTCCTGCTTTCACCTTACTTCCTCTTATAGTATTTATTTCTTTTTTCATTTTCTTGAGTTTGACAATTGGCATCTCCCCATGGTTAAAAAAAAATAGAAAGATTAGTACTTTTTTAATAAGTCACTTTCCTTTACTACTCAAAGCTTTGCAACTTTACACGCTTCCTCTCCTCTTTTTCATGTCCAGAGGCCCTAATTACTCACACTCTTGCATTCTTTTCCAGAGACAGAGGCAAAGGCACTTTTGAAAGAAAGGCAGAAAAAAGACAATCACAACCTAAGTAAGTGAAAATACATGTGTGTACCTGGAAGTGTTTTATGCAGTTCTGCCTTCTCCTGAGTCTCAGGCCTTCTTGAGGAGACTCTTAGCAAAATAGCCTCCAAATTCCTATTTCTCTCCTCCTTCCTTCACATATTGATGACTCATTCCTACTCTTTATTTCTTTCTCCCTACTTCTAAAGTTGAGCGTCGCAGGCGATTCAACATTAACGACAGGATCAAGGAACTGGGCACCCTCATCCCCAAATCCAGTGACCCGTGAGTCTGGGCTAGAAACACCAAGCCAGCAGAGGGGTGGGAGGTGGAATAAGGGGCCTTGTTCCCCAAATATGTTCCTAAATGAACTTTTCAGGCTGTTTGATTGCTGCTCCTGTGTTCCTTGCTTACTCAGATTTCCTCACTTTCAGCAGGGTTGTAGATCTTTATGATGCACTCAACTAAAATTTTAGGTGCATTTATCTAAGACTATTTGTTGAAAAAAAGCCCTAGTGGCTGCTGACTGTGGTTTAAACCCAACAGACACATCATGGGGAAAAAGATGTGATAATCTGCATTCATAAGGAGTATTGCCTTGGAAGGTTCCCCTCTTTTTTAAAATAGAGATTTTAATGAAAGTTTATAGAAAACTTAAATTTCCATTCATTCATTGTTGCACACCTCCCTGCTCTCCCTTCTCCCTAGCCTTGAAAATTTTAAGGGACAGTTCTTTTCTGTCCTTTTTGGTTGCTATGAGTTGGAACTGTCTGACAATGAATTTGGTATTTTTTTCTTTTTAATTTACTTAGGAAACCTATTAAACTTCTGCTTTGTGTCAGGCACTGTTCTAGACTCTGCAGATAACCAAAGGGAGCAAAACAGACAAAAATCTCTAACCTCAAATGAAACTGGTGTGTTGTTTTTGTTTGGTTTTTTTAATTTTTAAAGTTATTTTTTAAATTTATT